GGAGTTGCTGGCAAGACCCTTCTATCCCACAAACACTGGCACATAAGCACAGAAGGGCCTGGTCTCTCTCCTCGGCCCCAGCCCACCCTGTCCTTCTGGTGGGGACGGCAGCTCCCTGTTCCCAGCTGGGCTCAAGCTTTCTCTCCTTCAGAGGGTTCTCAGGGCAAAGAGGAGCCAGCTTGATTTTGTGTGAGGAAATCCTAGGGGCCCCTTCCCCCACACTGCAGATCCCACCCATCAGATCATCACACTTATGAGGATTCTGCAGCACCAACATGCCGAATATTGTACCTATAGGTCAACACAACCCTCCCCTTCCGGCACAAATCGGCCCCTTTCTTCCTGGCGAGAGGGCATGGCCTGCCCCCTAGTGTTTGAAAGAAGTATTGGATGAAAGGCCCTGAAGACCATAATCCTCTATCCCCAAGTCTGAGGCAGGGTACGCCTGCCTCTCCGCCCCCGACACTTCTGATCCGGAGCCGCTGTCACTAACCAACGGAAGGTAGTTCAGCCTTAAACCCGTGTATATTCTTTGGCCCCACTGTGCACACCTGATAGAAAGGCAACTAAGCTGCAAGTAGGGTTGCCAGGTGTCTGGTATTCTACCGGACAGTCCGGTTTTTGCACCCTCTGTCCGGTAAAAAAATTCAGAAAATACCAGACACGTGCAATGTCCGGTATTTTCTGTTTTTCCGGCTGGGCGCCGGACGGAAGCCTGGCGGGGGTGGGGGGAGTGGCTGAGACTCCCAATCACTCCCCCGGCCCCTGCCAGGCTTCTGCACGCAACCAGAGGGAGTCCTAGGCTGGGAGGTGGGGCCGTGATCGGCGCTGGGAGCCTCTGGCGGGGGCGGGAGGAGTGGCTGGGAAGCTGATTGCATCCGAGGAGGAGTGACGCCTCGGGGAGGAGGAGAAGCCCCGTCCCTGTTCCCGAGCGCTGGTCAAGCGCGTTGCGGTGCCGTGGTCCAGGAGAGAAGCCCGCAGGTGCTTTGTGGTTGCGTTTAGGCGCCTTCCATGGGCTCTCAGCCAAAACTGACTGGGGTGGAATTTCTGCTTCTTCCCACTGGGACACCCAAAGACCTGGCTATGGGGGAGTCACCTTCCTACCCATGGTCCCCCCCACCCCACCCTGCCATTGTGCTGCATCAGGGTCTGCCTCTCTCTGCTTTGGGTAGCAGGCAGCTGCTTTGCAGAGCAGCTCTTGGTAGCAGCTGGGTGTGGGGGGGGTTTTTTTTTTTTTTTTGCTTGACAAATTTTTAGCCCGTGTGTTCGGTATTTTTTGGGAGACCATCTGGCAACCCTAGCTGCAGTGCTGACTTTTGTTACCTAAATATCTGTCCATTGGGCCTGGACTGAGTTCACTAGCCAGCCTCCAGGTGGAATTGACTGTCACCGCTGGGCCAGGCCCATTCGGACCAGATCGCGAGATGGGAATGGACGTGTATTGTATTTTCTATTTTCCAGTGTTTTTCTCCCCGTCCTCCAATCTGATCTGCTGACGGACCCATATGCATACACAGGCCTAGAAACAGGGCCACTGAAGTCCAGGGGTTCCGCACAGACGTGGGGCTCTGCCCACGTGGATCAGATTACAGGATCGGGGCCCATGTTATGCTCAGTTTCCAAATATATACGGTAATATTACCCAGCTTAACAGAACCACTGCAATCTACTGTACACCATTACGACACCCAGAATGAAGCCTGTTGCCAAAAGTAACATTTTATTTTTTCTTTAATATACATTTTTTTAACATCATTTTACAATTAGGACCAACTGTAAAAAAATAATCTCGTTTAATTCTTGGCACAGCCACACTTGGAGAAAAAAGATTCTTCTTTCAATTCTCTCCATAAAATACTTTTGTCCAAGGCGTGTGACAAATACATGTACAAATAATGAAATGTCATTGTAAAGAGTTAAATTATGAGTCTGGATACAGACTGCAGTTGTTCAGCTGTTGGAAGAAACAGGAAAGAGATGGGGGAACCGCTGTGCCCTGTAAAGTTTAATCACAGAAACAGATTTACTTGAATTTGAGGCTAATGGAAGCAAAAAGCTAACAGCACTGGGTAGAGGCAGATATAGTCTCATCTTCCGATACAACTGTCTTCATCTGCAGCATTTTGTGATTGCACAGCCGAGTCTCCCATCTGCTTCTACAGATGCAACACGCTTCTGAATTGCAGTGCTCTGCATGGCTCCCCCCATTCTACTTCACTTCATCTATGTGGGATTTGAACTCAGGTCTCTCAAGGCCATGTCTACACTAGGGAACTATTTTGAAATTAGCAAATTCGACTTAACTCCCGATTTAACAAAATCGAACTAGCGGGTCCATACTACGTAGAAGCCTCAAAATTAGTCTAAGGCAGGCTCTATTCATGTGGACGTGCTACCTCGATGTAGAGCCCCCAGAAGCACTGGGGAATAAACCGTTCAAATTACTCTGGAGAGTAGTTAGTTCAAAATAGCAGCATCGGTGCGTCCACACTATCGCTATTTCGAAATAACTATTACAGAATTAGCGTTACTCCTGATGAAAAGCAGAAGTACAGATTTCGAATTAAGTGGCCCGTTATTTCGAAGTAGTATGGACGCTCTGTTTATAAATTCCATATGGAAGAGTCCTAGTGTAGACCAAGGCTCATAGACGAAAACTAGCAGGGTTATCCAGTGTTGCCCACTCTCCTACAATAAGATCACTGGTCTTTGGCTCACACAGCCATTCCTGTCACTAGCTAAGCTCATCTTTCCATTTAAAAAGTGTATCCCTTTTTTTTTGCTAAGCGGAAAATATTAATAGATTCCAAAGTCAGATGGGACCACTGGGGACCTCTAGCCTGACTTCCTGTAGAACTAGGCCCTACCAAATTCATGAAATCTGGTCACCCCCTTGAAATCCGGCTATTGTAAGTGGGGGCTGCAACAGAGCCACCCTTCCTTCTGCTCTGCTTTCAGAGTTGGGTGGCCAGAGAGCAGTGATTGCTGGCCAGGCACCAAGCAGCAACAATGGCGGCATGGCGACAACACCGTGAAATGTAAGATTTAAATATCAGAAACAGTGAAAAGCAAGATTTTTAAAATGCTAGAACCATGAAATGTACCAAAATGAACTGTGAACACACAGCTTCCCCGAAACACTTCCTACAGCCGTCTCTTAGAAAAACATTGAGTCTTGGTTTTAAAACTGCTGAGGATGTAGAATCACCGGTGACCTTGGTAAACTGCTCCCAAGGCTAGTCAGTTGCTGCGAAAAACCTATGCGCCATTTCCCATCTGAATGCAGCTAGCCTAAGGTCAGGTGCTGATTTAGCCGAATAATCTTGAATGTTCACTCTCACCTCCACTCTCCCGGCACTTGCACTGACACCTACACCTGGCCTCTGGGACTGCTGAAACCCTTAGGTATCACTCCCCCCGTTTCTGGGAGGACGCAGAACCAGTTACTGACTTGGGGAGAAGGAAGAGGAGGCATTGTTGTACTGGCTGATGCCGCTAGCACAAAGACCACCACCAACTCCCTGTGTGAGAGCTGGCTGCTGCTAAGAAAACTTCTTCCACTGAGCAGCCACTGCGATCTGTAGGCTCAAAGGAGGACAACTCAACTTAGCGCCCTTAAGGAGACTAAACACAGAAGCAAGTCCACAGAACTCTGTCCCGCGGACTCCTTCTGAGGTCTTATCATCAAGCCATGTCTGACACTGACCCCGATCCAGCAAAGCACCAAAACCGAGGCATAACTGAAGTAATTCCATTTACTTCCAGAAGACACATGGAATTTAAGCAGGTGCCTTCCTTGCTTGGCTGAATCGAGGCTGTGGTTTCTGCCTCTCTAAAGTTGATCATATTAGTTACTACACACTGATATTGCAATGAGGAATATTTGTAAAGCGCTGTGAGCAGAATGCATACAAAGCACGCCAATGCCAGAAGGATGAAAACAAAAGGTCCTGTGGAACTCCTTGCCAGAGGATTCTGTGAAGGCCAAGACCATATCTGGTTCAAAAACAAATACATTCTTGGAGGACACAGAGATGTTAAAGATTGGTTAATCATGAATTCTTAGTGGTTACTTGACTGTGCTGATACAGAGGCAGCAACGTGGGGTGCCAGGCAGGAGCTGGTGCACAAGGGGAGCCAGGTTAAAAACCAGCTCCCGTTACCAACTGGCTGCCTGTCACCCCATGCTGCTTCCTCAATACAGAGCCAAAACTGAGCCGAGCTGTCTGCCCGCCTGGCTCCTAACACACTTTAAATGCAGCGCGACAGCAGGGGTGGGTCCCGGACCTGGCACAAGTGAAAGGGGAGCCAGGTTAAAAACCAGCTCCCGTTACCAACTGGCTGCCTGTCACCCCATGCTGCTTCCTCAATACAGAGCCAAAACTGAGCCGAGCTGTCTGCCCGCCTGGCTCCTAACACACTTTAAATGCAGCGCGACAGCAGGGGTGGGTCCCGGACCTGGCACAAGTGAGCTGGTCTGCTGGCCAGTCTGCTAAAATATTTACTGGTAAGGAGGGTGGAGGAAATGTGTGTAGTCGATAGCATTAACTGATAAGGGTTTGCTCATCGGTTAATCGACTAGACTATTACATCCCTTGGGCAGGTCCATCAATGGTTGCTAGCCAAGATGGGTAGGAATGGTGGCTCTAGCCCCTGTTTGTCAGAAGCTGGGAATGGGCAACTGGGGTGGATCAGCGGATGAGTCCCTGTTCTGTTCATTGCCTCTGGGGCACCTGGCGCTGGCCACTGTCGGCAGACAGGACACTGGGCTAGATGGACCTTAGTTCTGACCCAGTATGGCCGTTCTTATGTTCATGGCCCCCCAGTCCCACAGTTTAGACCAGTGTTTCTTAAACTTTTTAAGACCGAGGAACACCAAACAATTTTTTTTATGGGGAACACCAAGGATTTTTTGTTGAGGGGAAAAAAAAAGGTCAGGGGGAAAAAGGGTCGGGGGGGGGGAGTTATTGAGAAAAAAAAGGATTGGAGGAAAGTTATTGAGCAAAAAAAAAAAAGTCAGCTGCCCCTTTAAGGGCAGCCATTTTGAATTCTATTGTTCTCCACGGCACATCGGTGTGCCACAGAACACAGTTTAAGAAACACTGGTTTAGACTCTAAGGTCAGAAAGATCTGGTTCCGAGAAAAAGTCCAGTGATCTCACTGGGGGGAGACTAGGCAACACCGCAGATAACCCAACTCATGTTTTCTGTGGGAGACCTGAGTTCAAATCCCCCATAGATGAAATGAGCTAGTCTGTCCACTGCGCACTTGGGAACGCTGACTCGGCGGAGTCCAGTTAGCCATGCAGAGCCCTGCACTTCAGAACCGTGTTGCATCTACAAAAGCACATGGAGACTCAGCCCTGCAGTCACAACGTGCCGCAGATTGAGACTGAGTTGTACAGACTACGAGGACCACCTCATCGGAAGTGTATTTGAACAAGCTAGTCCGGGCAGACGTCTTCTGTCTGCATGTGTGTAGGACACAAACAAGCAACCGTCTCCTGTGGCAGGAAGCAGGTGGCAATCTGAGGAATCAGTTGTGTTTGGAAGGGATGACATTGCCAGGTTCCTCCAGAAGCCAGGGTAGCAGCGAAGGCTCGAAGAAGACAGCATGTTATCCACAGCCGCAGCAAAAGCCACGTCCAGAAAACCGAAAGGCTTGTTGTACATCTAGAGCGCGCTCGTGCCTGAGGGACGTTCAGAGGTGCAGGAATTTGGGTTGGCAGTCGGAGCAGCCAGCAGCTGCAGGGAGGAATTTAGGTATTTTCACATCCAGCAGCTCTTCCCGAGCGCATTCTGCTGCATGCCGCGGGTTCAGCCCTTGTTAGGCAGGCGCGAGGGAGCCAAGTCTGCTTGTTAACACTGTCTCAGGCAAGTCGCTCACCAAGGTAACCACCTGCATAATTACACCTCTCGGGACCAAGCCTGGCGGACACAGGATTCAGCGAGGAACCGTTCCTCCCACGCGTAAGCAGTCGGGTCCAGCAATAACTGGGGGACTGTTTGGTTCTCCTGACGCCATGCCAGCCGATGCCGAAGCAGGGTGACGGGCGAGATGCACCCGTGGGTCTGATACATCGGTGGGAAAATGGTGCGCCCCCCACTTCACGTTTTATTCAAGTCTCTTCATTTCAACCCTGCCTTCCCATTCCACGCTGCCTGGTTCTAGCTGACTGTTTTGTAATGGCTGCATATAGGAACGCTGCTGCTGCCCTTCGACCCAGGGCAGCTCCTCTCAATGGTGAGTGACGATCTGACTGGCCACAGAGCCCTAATTCCCCTCCTCGGTTCCAGCTCTTACACTGCATTACAAGCAGCAAAATCACACTGCCTTTGTGGGAAGGCAACATCAGGAAAGTCAGGACAGTGGCTGACACAAGGGTGGCAATTAAAAACTCGGCCTAAGAGTCTGCTTAATTATAGTGTAAACATTCAGGCTCAGAACGGAGCCCACAATCTGGAACCCTGCAACCTGTGCTTGAAAATCTACACCTCTGCCGATCAGCCCCGCAAGCCCAAGTCCACTGGCATCGGACGCAGTGTAGACAGACCCTAAGATACTAGACCATCACCAATGGAAGGAAACTGATCCATGCAACCATTAACATGGGGGGAGTCTGCACAAAGGCCAGTGAAATGGGGAGGTGTCCCCAACATAAACACTCTGATAAGTGGGGAGCTACACTATGGAAAAAAGAGCCTGCAGCCTTGCTCTGAGCCTCTAAGGAGGTTACAGGTATATTACACTGAGCACATGCTGCTCATAATAGGAGACTTAAGGCGATTTCACGATGGCAATTCTTTGAGAGAGTCTGGGTTACGGCTGTTTTAACTGCACTGGTCTGCATCTATTCCCCCTCTTTCCGTCGCAGTGAAACCTTGTCTCCCCTAGGATTTATACCATCATGTCATTTAACGTTAAGAACCCGGACGCCCTCTACGTTACTGGTGGTGGTAGACAAAACCAGATAAGAAATCAGAGAGTAGATGCAACGTGGCCATCTGCATCCATAATCCAGAAGGGTAATTCTGTGAATTAGTAAACAGCAGCAGGCAGGCGCTGTGCTGAGGAAGCAGGTGGATTTATTTAGTGGAGATGATGACCTTTCCTGTTGACTTGCGCTGGGTTACACGACTAAAAGCTTCATTCACCTGCAAGCACAAAACTTGGGTTGTTTATACACACACAGGCTCCTGCAAGTGTTAGTTGCTACTATTGGGATGTTAATTTTCATTATCTACACAGATTTCTAGAGGGCAGATGTGTTTAGTCACATTTTTTAGAAGTGGCCTTTAAAAATCTCCCTGCAACCTCATAGACTCGAAGGGACCACCATGATCATCTAGTCTGACCCCCTGCACAGTGCAGCCCACAGAATCTCACCCACCCACTCCTGAAATAATCCTCTCACCTATATCTCAGATATTGAAGTCCTCAAATGATGGTTTGAAGATCCAAGATGCAGAGAATCCTCCAGCTGTGATCTGTGCCCCATGCTACAGAGGAAGGCAAAAAACCTCCAGGGCCTCTGCTAATCTACCCTAGAGGAAAATTCCTTCCCAACCCCAAATATGACGATCAGCAGGGCTCGACAAAGTATTGAATCTACTCGCCCGTGCCCCGTTCATTTGTGACGTGCGCATGCGCAATGCAAGTCTTGCGCATGCGCAGTGTGGGGCTGGCGAGCGGCTTTCGCCGCCGTTCGTCAAGCCCTGGCGATCAGCATATCCCAACCTTGTGCATATATGAAGATTTAGGGCACATGAAAACTTGGATTTGTGCATGCAGGAAAACCAAGCGTGTGCTCGGATTTCAAGAGCAGTTTTAGAGGCCAGATTGAAACATTTTAAGTATCACGGGTACATTCGAGAGTGCAATCCAGGCCAGCGAGGGACAGGACCAGTGTCTGCCTCACAATGTTTTGCTGTTGTAGCTCCTGGATTGCCCATAAACAGCCCAACAGTGTGCAAGTCACATCCTGAATGTCTGTGTATAGCTGCAGCTCTGATTCCAAGAGACTGTCAGCCACACACCAACCACACTCTAACTTCCACCAGCCTTGGTTAGTACTTGCAGGGTGACCCCAACACACTCCCCATCCTGTATTTCCCCCTAAAACTTGTGTTCTGCAATGTCCAGCCCTCCCCGCCCCCTCCGGGCAGTGCAGATATTTAGAGCCACTGATCCTGCAATGAATCAATAATCAACAGGTTGCTACTTTAACTAGAGTTACCAGTTCTGTTTAAACCCAGCACGGGATGTGTAAAAAATAAAACAAGTTTGTTAACAAAAGCAGATAGGACTTAAGTGAACTCAAGTGACAGAGATGACGTGAGAAAAGGGCACAAGAAAATAAAAGTAAAAACGCAGCTAAACGTTTATAACAGAGTCTAGTAAGCTTTGGTTCAAGGCTTTGTTTAAAATGGTCCCTCTCACCCTGTCTTCAAGCAAGATGGGGACTGACCCTTTTCTTGAAAGCATCTCTCCCCAAGGCCCAAAGGTGCTGGGGCTTTTGTCTTCTCAGATGAAAGAGCACTTGGAGATCCCTGGCCTATTTCTTTGACGTGGAGCCTTCTGAGGGTGTGTCTAAAGTACATGGCTCCATCGATGGAGCCATGTAGATTAGGCTGATCGGCAGAGGGAAATGAAGCTGCGATTTAAATAATCACGGCTTCATTTAAATTTAAATGGCTGCCGCGCTGAGTCGACAAACAGCTGATCAGCTGTTTGTCCGCTCAGCGTGCTAGTCTGGACGCTCCCCTGCCGACATCAAAGCCCTTTGTCGGCAGCCCCGGTAAACCTCATCCCACGA